CCCCCAAAACCCCAAAACCCCAAAACCCCATTTTTAGATCAGCGTATTGAGCTTATCCCATAAATTCGATTAATTTTGCTCTCATTTTTCTAGGATTTCTATTCTTCAGGACAATATACGAAATGCTATCATCATCAAAATCTAAAAAATAAGCTAAACTCACTTACCATCCTCTCCAATCTGCTCTTGTTCAGGATTCCCCAAAAGTTCATCTTCATTCTGTATTAACTCTTCCTCCTTATTCTCTTCTTGTTTTGGACCCTCAAGTGCTTCAAAGTCAATAGGAGTGTCTTCCTCTTCCTCAATCTCCTGTAACTCAATTGTTTCTAAAAATCCCAAAAAGCTCTTACCAAGAAGGGGGTTGCACAAAATGTTAACAATTTTGTTCTTCTGTTCTTTACTCATCATTTTCAACAAGAAAGATCTGTACAAAATGAGGTAGGTCGGGTTCATCCCAATAACATCCTATATTTTTAGGAGGAATCTGTACCTCAAGTATCTTCATGTTTGTACTATTATCTCCTTTCCTGCCACTATCATCACCATCAGCTGCTCCAAACATCGAAGCCTTTACATCTTCAAAAGTGAGGGTCACGAATTGGAGGGTGCAACTGAAAGTCTTATTAACTGGGACATGCAGAGATGGGATCTTCATCTTTTTGAGAAGTTGGAGAACGTCCAGACCATCCCCAGAAGTAGTTAAGTCTACTGTTAGCTCTTTCAAGGTCTTGTGTATCATTGTATCCTCAGTCTTGACAGCAAAGCTATCATCAGACTCTATCTGAAGAATGTCATTCTAAATGTTAACAGATTAAGTACCAATAGATGATGGTTATCAGGCAAGCAAATCTTGCTTATATTTTTGTTCTCTATCATGTAAATGGGATCTTGTAATTCAAAATCATTCTCTGCTGATGTCATTAGGGATGCAATCTCATCTTTATCAAATTCTTCCACAATTCTTGCATTTTCAAAGCTAAAATCAGGAGATGAATCCATATTTGAAGTGTCAATAAAGAAGTATTCATTAGATATATGATACATGTCACAGAAGCTTTGGGATGATAAGAGCATTTTATCTACTTGAAAGCATCGGATATTCTCGCCCTCATAATAATAGACCTTGACATCTTTGAGGAAGATACCATTTTCTCCATCTTGCTCATTATCGAATGATGTTCCATAACCCCAGACATCTCAATTTACTGTGACTTGTCCCTCTGATTTGGTCTCAATGTACTTGATTTTATCTAGATTAGGGAAGAATTTTCTCAGCATAGCAGGTACGCTATCAAAAGAAGGGCTGAAATCCTCTACATCTTCGCTAGGATATTCCAAAATATTCAAACATTTAAGACTTTCTGAAAAATCTTTATCAAGTTTCAGATCTTGCTTGCCATCTATTTCTTCAAGATTCTTAAATGCGATGTGGAGAGTGTGCACTTTGCCCTTGATATAGGAAAACAGGCCTGCATTCTTTTCTCCTGGAGCAAAGCCGAGAGTATCAATTTCATGAACTTGCTTAATCTTGTCAATAATTGCTCACTGATAGCCAATAAGCTTGGAATAGTACTCAATTTCATTATCTTTTAGCTCTTCAAGTTTTACTAGATTACCTTTTGCCAAAGGAAGTTTTGTTTGGAGTGTCTCTACAGGAAGACTCAATTTCTTGAAGGTGTTGTGAACTGAGTTAATCATATCAATTCCCTCTCTCACGTCTGGATTTTTAATAACTACTTCTTCGAATTTGAGCGAAGAAGCATCTTCCACAGATTCTAATAATGAACAAAACACTTTTCAGCTGTCTGGTGTTAAGAGCTTGACTGACAAATTTCCAATTCTTAAATACTAAACATATGATAAGCAAATATACCCAAATAGGCATTAATAAAATCAAACTCAAACAAATATAGAACTTAATATATCCAAATCCCTCTATTTTCCCAAAAGGGTGAATATCGACCACATCTCCTAAATTCTAAGCAAAAACACTTATTTTCATATCCCCATCTTCAAATTCCCTTCCTTAACAATTGATCCCTCCGCACAACTTGTCCTTCAATCCATTTTTATTTTCCCAAAACCCTTACCCAAATCTGAACTAGCTAATATCAGATTGACCCAAACCTATCATAAATCCCACATATCCCCAGCTCTGAGCCAAGTTCTTAAAACCAATATTTAAGTTTAAAATTTAGAGGAAAATGATTTAAGCTAAATTAGAAGTTAGTGTAAATTCAGAATGTGGAAAACGGCCTCCAATCTAGGCTTTAGAGGTAATAAATATGCAAGATTAGGTCAAAGTTCAAGAGAAAATGAAGCATTGGTTTATAGGAAAGATTTTATCAAGGTAGTACAAGGGCTGGCATACTCTTCCAGATCTTTGTTTGGAAGAAAAATTGAGCAGAAATGAATACAAATGGATTATTCACAAAAAATGTAATTTTTAAATTTAGCAAAAATAAGTATATTATCATTATGGATCTGAAATATCTAGTTTCGGTATAAACAAAGATAAGTTAATACTGAGTGCAACCTTACCTTAAATATGGGTGTAATCTCTTTATTGAACTGGGTTCCAAGATCAAAATATCCTCTCTTGTCATTAGACTCAGCACAGGAATAAATTCGGGAGAATATCTCAAGGTTTTGGTTAAAGAATTCATTAGTTGGCTTGCATAATGAAGTTAATAATACCCAGACGTCAGGAAAATTACCCATGAAGGGGGCTAAAGCTGTGATGGTTATAGGGTTTGTCAAAAGATTAACTAGTGCTAAAGACTTAGATGCTGGTGCTCTTGATTCCATATTCGCGCTTTTTTAAATTAAATTGAAGATTCAATTAAATCTTTAAATGCGGGGTTTTGGGGTTTTGGGGTTTTGGGGTTTTGGGG